TAAATTCATTAAGAAATGGTATAAGTATTGTACCATTGAAATGTTCACCAATCATTTTAAGTGCAACACGTGTTATACAACTATGTAAATTTAAATGATCTTGAATTTTTTTACAAATCTTTTTTTAAAATTTTATTTAAATAGAAATTAAAAAAGTTTAAAAGGTTTTTTAATTTACTTTATTTAATCGTTCATCAATAACTTCTTTTGCATGAAAATCAATATAGAATTGATCTAATGTTTCTGATGTAATTGTATTCTCCGAAATTAATGCATCAAAATTTTCCGGTAATAACTATATAAGTAGGGTTTTCTAAGAGCTGCCATTACTTGAGTAGTAGACACTATTTTTCAATCAATAAGGAAATAGATCATGAAACGTTATTGATATATGGTAACTTACAGGACATAATTTTTGGCGTACAAACGTGAGCATGATTTCTGGTCTTCTCTTCATCTACACTCACTCATGCCATGGAAATATTACTTTCTTCAATACGTATCTAGTTTCGATATTTTTCTCTTTTGATTTTTCTACAATCAGCTCTACTATCGATCAGAGTCTGTGGAGAGAGAGATCTAAATTTCTAACTTGTATACTTTAGCAATTCTTTTGAGATCATGTTTCAGAAAAAGGTCTTTATAATTGGTCGAACAAATCGAAGTCGTCATACTCATTCTACAATTTATTAAGATTTAAGAATATTTCGTATACGCTTCAAATATGATATTACGACATTACTTGATGTCTGATAATGAACTTTACTATTGACTCTTGATATTTATTTTTTTCTTTTATTAGATGCTACAGATAGTATTCTGTTCATTATAGATAGAATCTAAAGATCAACTAAAATTTATCATAGCTAATATGAAAATCGATTTCGAATAACATTAATAGAAATCTTTGACAAATTTCTAATACAGAAACAAAAAATTTAATCACTACTATAAGCATACTAAATTCAAATTCTTGAATTTTCATTGATTCTCTATTTAACTTACTAAAACCATTTAATTTTTTAATTGTTTGATGTAAATCATTCAATTTCATTGGAAGATTTAATTTAAATTGTCGATATTCATAATCAATATGACTATCACTATTATATGTTCGATTAAATATTAATTTTAATAATTGTCTTATAGCATCTTCACGTACAATATATTCAATTATATCATCTATTTGTTTTGATGTTAATATTGATGAATGAATAAGATTTGTATCAAGATCAATAATATCATTTGCATCTAAATAATATTTTATTGTTTCAATTGTATCATAAGATGTATGATACATTTCACCGAAAATTTCAATAAATTCATCTAATGATAATGACATTCGTTTATATGTACGAAAACGTATTTGTTGATAATCAGTATCATTAATTATTGTAATTACATCACCATAGGAACATAATGTTCGTACTTGAGTACATAGATAGATTTTTCGAATCATACGAGATAAAATAATTGATTCTGATTGAAATATCATTGTTTTACCATTTAAACGATTATCCACTAAAATTAAATCTAATACCATACGAACATGCATTCGTTCACAATTGATTGCATAACCTTGTTCTTATATTAAAAAAGCATTCTGAGAAACAAAATATATTTATACATGTTTCTTACTTTGTGTTGCATTCATCAGTTCATTAGCTATTTTATTATCTGTTTGATCTGAAAATGAAGAAGTTGATTGATCAGTTAACATAACAATACCATTTACAACATCTTCAATATCTTTCTAAATTCTAAATTATTTTTATTGCCTCTTTTTTTAGTTAGGATATGAAAACAAATTAAAATTGATTTTTTTATTTACTGTATTAGTCAATGCTGTTTGCATAGCTTGTACACCATGTATTAATTTTATTAATCATTGCTTGTTCGATTGGTATAAATTGATTGAGATAATAGAATTGTCGATATGTATTTTCATATGGTAATATTTGAATTTTTTGATTTTGATTTTTCTTAATTTTTTTGATTATTTATTTTTATTTCATTTTGCAAATATTCACATGTGATTTCTTCATTAATTATAAATTTAAGTATACCTTCAATATCAGCAATTAATTTATTTGTTTTCTATTTGAAATTAGGATAATAAAAATCTATTCATTAGTTTAAAAAAATCAGAGTTATCAATGAGCTGCACAATGTCGCATATCATCACTACAATTTTTTGTTTTCGAAAAATCTCATTTTGTTCTTTTTATTATTGACTCAAATTTTGAACCTACTTTCATAGACTCATCCTAGCATATTGAGAGTTTTGACATGCATACATACTTTATGATTTTTATTTTTATATTGATTATGAATTTGATTCATTGGCTTTGTAAAACTCTCTTTAGTTTTTGATAGAATAACTGATGATGAATCAAATGTATCATTTGATTCCATAGGACATAAAGATTTAGCTTCAACCACAAGAATATCTTCTTGTTTGTCTATCGCTTTTATTGAAGATATTTTATTCTTTTTAGATAAATTTAAATATAGTTCATGATGTCTATAATTATGAATAACATTTCTGAGAAGTTGATTATTTCTAAGTTGCATTTCAACTATTGTTGGTAATTTTATTGCTATACAATGAATATCTTCTGATGGAAATTGTTCTATTTTTATGATTTCATTATTATTATTCGATAACATGATAGAATTAGAATAGTTATCATATAAATTAGATATTTTGAAATCATCGTTTTGTTCAGATAAATTGAGAATGCTATCAATATTATTATTATTTTGATTAACATTTTGATAATATATCGATAATCAAGAATCAAGATGATTAATAACTTTATCTGTTATTTCAAAACTACCATTAGTTTCTAAAATATCTATTCCATAATACAATAAATATGAGGTTTATTTATTATGATGTATACAATATGAAATCTTAGATCAGTACGAA